AAACTAAGGAACCTAATCCACATGAGACATTTGTTTGTACATAAGCAGTTCCTCAGTCACTACTTTAAAACAGAAAACTCTGGGCATGGTATTTTATATAGACATAGGCTGTTTCTTGTGTGTCCTGCCAGAGTTTTCTGTATGCTTGTACAAGCATGGATTTTTGTTTTCACACCAAGTTTTGTGCTTGCCTTTCTATTAATGAATCTTGAAAGCATTCATATGTAGAGAGCAGCCCCATTATTTTAAGTAAGTGGCTGGATTTTTTTTACAAAAATGTCAATTCAGCCAAATGTCTTTTAATGAATACTTGTATCTTTATAAGTAATTCTCCAATAAACATATTGATGTATACTTAACAAGTATATCCATGGGATAAAATCCAAACTGGTAGAAATTCCCAGGGAGAGCCTTGTGGCAGTGTAAGTAGAGATGTCTTTTCCACCATATCTTTGCCAGCAGCAATGCCCATCAGATTTTTTTTTTAATGTAGAGCCAATCTGACAGTGGAAAATAATACATTGAGATTTATGTTACCCTTTTCTTAAGTGCAGTTCAATATGTGAATTTGCATCCTTTGCCCATTCTGTTATTATTCTAGTTTCTATATATATGTTGTTACATATCATTGAGTTGGAACTGATTCATAGCTGAGCCTCCAGTGGGTTTTCAGATTCAGTAAATTTCACAGAAGGTGAATGCCCATCTTTCTCTGCTAGAACAGCTGGTGGATTTGAATTGCATGCCTTTGGGTTGGCAGCTTAACTCCTTACCACTAAGCCACCAGAGCTCCCATCTAATACATAGGAGCTTTTTTATTCATTAAGGAAATGTGTCTTTGCTTGATGTTACAAATATTTTCCCAGTTCTGTCTTCTGACTTCATTGTAGGGCAATTCAATTGTAGGTATTTTTATCTTGTAAAAATATATTTTTTGGTGGAATTTAGGCTTTAGCTAACTTAGGAAGGACTGCCAACTTTGTATATGTGTATTTATGTCACTTTTTTCTAGATCTTAGTTGAACATGAAATAGGAACCAATTTGATTTTATTTATCCAGCTCTCAGATCCTCAGATAACTTTCTGCTGCCTCCCTCCCATAATTTTACAGTGTTTCCTTTAATATATAATAAATTCTTTTATATATTTGGCTCAATTCTCTAGATTTCTATTTTTATACTGTCTTCCATTAATAGCTCGCTCTCGCATGTGCCGGCTGTGTGTGTGTGTGTGTGCGCGCGCGCGTGTGTGCATGTATGTGTGGTGTGGGGGGTGTGTTTGTAATTACCACATTGTTGCAATTATCTTTTATTGGGCACAGGCATACCTCATTTCTATTTTTCATAATTTTTCTGTTCCTCCTCCCATATAAACAAACCTTAAGATCATCCTCCTCCTCCAATGTTCTGTCTCTCATTGCTGTCTAGTTGGAACCCGTCTTTCTTTTCTGGAGCCACTGGTGAGTTCTAACTGCCTGCTTTTGAGTTGGTAGTGTAGGTCTAGGAGGAGGACTCTTAACTCTTACATTTAGATGACTTTTAAAAAATAACAAAAGAGTTAAAAGTCACCCCTACAGTAATTCTCTTCTAACACTGTTGAGTTGCTTCCTGGATATTTTCTCAAAATTGCTATTTCTGTCTCTTGGGACAGAATTATATTGGGACTTCTCCATAGTTTGTGACCGCTTAAACCTTGTAAACTGGAGCCGTGAAAGCACAACAGGTGATCCAAAAGGGAAAGCAAATTGTTTTCCACAGGTAGATCAATGTACTTGGCACAAATCTCTGAAACCAAATCATAGCCTAATGGCATTTAGAAATAAACAAGATCTCTAATTTTCTGTAATTATTTGAATTTCATTGTGCAGAACCTTATTAGACCCCACAAATAATCTTAAAAGAGGCCACAAATAGTGCTATAAAATATATAGAGTACAGGAGCTAGAAAACTTCAATACTGCCAGACATCATAGACATTATTTGAGCATGGATTTTGCTTAGTTTCTTTAAGAAAAATTTTCCCCCACACTGATCTGGCATAGGACTTTTTAACATCATCTGAGGAGATTTGACGGCACATTAACAATACCAACCAGGAGATTTGAAAAGAAAATTGTTTTCTTCCTGGTAACAGATGGTCTTTGGTAGCAAGTGGGGAAGACACTCATCTATACTTACCTTCCTAGAGCAGGCTTTGATCATGTGATTAAACTCTTACCAGACAGAAATGTCTAGCACCTTGAAGATGTACATGCTTTGTGCTGAACTTCTAACCTAAAGGCGGACAGATCCACCAGCAGTGCGTTGCAAGGAAGCCTTGGTGGTCTGTTTCCAACAAGATTACAGCCAAGAAAGCACAGTGGAATAGTTCTATTCTGTAACACATGGGGTCACCATGGACTGGAGTCAACCCAGTGGCAATAGCCTACAGTCTACAGTCTCCCTGGGTGGCAAAAATGGTTAACACATTCAACTGCTAACCAAAAGGTTGGTGGTTTGAGCCTACCCAGGGACACCTTGGAAGAAAAGCCTAACCATCTACTTCTGAAAAATCGACTGTTAAAAAAAAACCCTGTGGACCACAGCATTGTTCTGACACACAGTGTATCAGTGACTTGGAGTTGGCTTGTTGGCAGCTGGGGAGTTCTAGTGGCCCATTGCCTTGGTGGTAAGGAATTGTGCTGCCAACCCAAAGGCAGGTGGTTCAGCTCTGCAGGAAAAGATGGACTGTCTCCTTTCAAGTGATTTAGTCTCTGAAAAACCCACTGGACAGTCAGCTATTAGCTGGTTCTGGCTCAGTGCCCCGTAGCAGTAACATAATCTGCTTGGAGGAGAGTAGCAAGGCGACCAGACAGGACATCTTGCCACATCCCAGCTGCCTGCTACTTCTGCTTCTCAGCCCTGCAGAGAACAAGGGATATCTTTATGTTGTCTTATGGTCACCTTATGTGAACATTTATGTAAACTCTTCTATGTCTTTTCTGTTTACTCAGTCATGGGATACTCCTTTTTTTTCTGCTTTTATATTTTTTTACCACTGATACGGAGTGATATACCATGCACTGTTTTTCTAGATGTTTTGTATTCACCCTCCTCCTTGATGATAACGCTCCTCTGTCTCTGTGCCCTGACACTGACCATGGAGCTGAGAGGTGCGGATGAAGCAAGGATCCCTGGCACCAATGCAGGGCCAAAAATCCAAGTCAGAGACCCAGGAGAATCCATGCCGGATGTGTATTCAAAAGCAACGGCTTTCAAACAATGAAACTGCAGAAGTCATTAGGATCAGTTTTGTGTATGTGTAGCAAGTTTGAAAGGCCGAGTAGAGTGGGGAAATGGTGTACAGTGAAGAAAGATAGGAAAACTATCTGCTCACTTAAACACTGAGAGGTTCACTTAAGTGAACTATAAACCAATAGAAAAGTACTGTGTTCTCAGTGGGGCAGGTGGGTCATCTAGTCCATGGGAATCCCAGGAGGAGCTCACTCAGTGGCTTCTCAGGTTTGAATCCACCAGCAACTCCCCCGGAGAAAGGCTGGCAATCTCCTCTGTGAGACTTTAGCCCTGGAAGTCCAGTGCAGGGCCAGTTATGAATCAGTTCTGATTTGATGACAATGAGAGAGAGCATCACATGAATAGACATTGATGGTGGCAACTTATTAGTAGAAATATGGTCCCTCTGTTTCTGCCTCAGGTACCTTTTATATTTGTGGTGTTGAGACACATTTTATATTTGTGGTGTCTCAGAATGTCATAGTGATTGCCACAGTGGGCCCAACATAGCAGAGATTGTGAAGAGGGTACCCAGAAATGGATAAGGTTTCTTTCTCTTGTACATCAGTTCATTATGAGTTAGAAGCAACTCGATGGCTCCTAACAATGGAACATCACTGTACTCCTAATGTCTAGGCGGCCCTTGGAGTTGTGCTTGAATAAAAGTGTGCCCTCTATTAACTACCCTCAGATTCTGCTCAGTGGTGCACCTTCCCCCGTGGAGGCTCTCAAGCCACTTCCATTTTTGCCATACCTTAGGTAAGGACTTGGCACCTTTTCTTCCAGCTGTTTACATCCATCTCAATATTAGTATTCAACCCTTGTGGATCGATAGTATCTTGACTTTTTAATGTATTGTGTTGTATTGCTGGATTCAGGGGTCCATTGTGTTCCACTCTTTGAGAAGCGTGACTTGTTTGAAAACTAATTTAGAGACTTTGTGGCTCTAGCAGGTGAAGTGTGAGATGGGGTTTTTCTCCCCCCTCCCCCCCACACCGCTCCCCAGCTCAGAGGTGTTAGTTTTCATATTAGTGGATCACAAAGAAGTCTCCCGCATTCCCACATCCTTGCTGATAAGAATTCTACCACACAGATAACTGCCCTGGGCAAGGGAGTGTTTGTTAGAAGACAGACTAGTCCTGTAAATGAACTCAGTTCATTGCTGGCAAGCTGGAACTGACTTATAACTGACCCTCCAATGGGTTTTTTAGAGGATGTGCTTCACACAGGAGAATGCCTATCTTTCTACTGAGGGTACAACAGCCTTTAAACAACCAGAGAGGCACTGTCTTTGGTTTAGCAGTGCAACTCCCTGTGAAGTATACCACCAGAGCTCCCCATGAGGGAGAATTACCACTAAGCTCCCACTTTAAACTTATCAAAATTGATAGAGTGAAGGTTCATAGTTTGCACAATTCTTTAGGTATTTTATTTAATCTTCAGAGTGGAGTGCCTGAGTTGTGCAAACAGCAAATGCATTGGGCTGCTGTTGGAGGCTTGAGTCCACTCAGGCACTTCAGAAAAAAGGCCTGGTGATTTACAGCTAAAAAAATCAGCTGTCAAAAGCTCATGGGGCAAAGTTCTGCTCTGATGCACTTAGGGTCTCCCTGTATCAGAGTTGACTTGAAATTGTGCAGGGATAAATCCGCATCATGTGTAAATCACATGTACTGTTTTGTCATGTAGAAATGAATCCTAACTCTTTATTTCTCATCCCCTCACTTTCAGTTTCCCTGGAAATAACATCCCCCAAGATGGCAGACGAGAGCAGCAGTACCAGGGAGTGCATGTCCTTCAGCGTGCTGAACTGGGATCAGGTTAGCCGGCTGCATGAGGTGCTGACTGAGGTCGTCCCAATCCATGGACGAGGCAACTTTCCCACCTTGGAGATAACTCTGAAGGACATTGTTCAGACCGTCCGCAGCCGGCTGGAGGAGGCAGGCATCAAAGTGCAGGACGTCCGGCTGAATGGCTCTGCGGCTGGCCACGTCTTGGTTAAAGACAATGGCTTGGGTTGCAAGGACCTGGACCTCATCTTTCACGTGGCTCTTCCAACAGAGGCAGAATTCCAACTGGTCAGAGATGTGGTTCTGTGCTCCCTTCTGAACTTCCTGCCTGAGGGTGTGAGCAAGCTCAAAATCAGTCCAGTCACTCTTAAGGAGGCTTATGTCCAGAAGCTGGTGAAGGTCTGCACGGACACTGACCGCTGGAGCCTCATTTCCCTCTCCAACAACAATGGGAAGAATGTGGAGTTGAAATTCGTTGACTCCATCCGACGCCAGTTTGAGTTTAGCGTGGATTCTTTCCAAATCATCTTGGATCCTTTGCTTTTTTTCTATGATGACTCCAGTAACTCCATCTCTGAGCACTTCCACCCCACAGTGATTGGAGAGAGCATGTATGGGGACTTTGAGGAAGCCTTTGACCATCTGCAGAACAGACTGATCGCCACCAAGAACCCTGAAGAAATCCGGGGTGGAGGACTGCTCAAGTACAGCAACCTTCTTGTGCGGGACTTCAGGCCCACAGACCAGGAAGAAATAAAATCTCTGGAGCGTTATATGTGTTCCAGGTTTTTCATCGACTTTCCGGACATCCTCGAACAGCAAAGGAAGCTGGAGACCTATCTTCAAAACCACTTCGCGGAAGAAGAAAGAAGCAAATATGACTACCTCATGATCCTCCGCAGGGTGGTGAACGAGAGCACCGTGTGCCTCATGGGGCACGAACGCAGGCAGACCCTGAACCTCATCTCCCTCCTGGCCTTGCGCGTGCTGGCGGAACAAAACATCATCCCCAACGCCACCAACGTCACCTGTTACTACCAGCCAGCCCCTTATGTCAGTGATGGCAACTTCAACAACTACTATGTTGCCCATCCTCCAGTTACCTACAGCCAGCCTTACCCCACCTGGCTGCCTTGTAACTAACCTTGAGACCTGAGGTTTCCACTGTGGGAACCCCAATAATTCAAGGGCTCTCAGGTAGGGGAGCCTCTTTCTAGATGTAGGTGTTTGGCTTTTAAAGGGGAACTCACTTCTGATTCTGCTTTTTTTTTTTTCCCTTTGTGTACCCATTGGAATGAGCCAACCCTAAAGGGACCCATATTCCAGTGCCATTTTGGAAAATGCTGTAGGAAGACTGATCTATCCACATCTTTGCAACATAGACACTAACATGTCACGTCCCAGACATTAGCACATGGGGATTTGAACTCTCTGCAATGATTGAGATTGCGGCAAAGCTTGGGCAGTGCGTGAGAAGTGCTAAGCTATTGATCTTCCTTCTCACTGGAGCCTGGAGTGGGCCGCGTTGGCGCTCTCTCGGGATATTCGGCAGTCACTTGGAAGTTGTGCTGATAGTCTATTTTCTTGTGTTAATTTTAATCAGGCAGAAAATGGTAAACATAAGGGTGCACTAGTGATTTACTTTTTGTTTATCCCCATCAGCAGAGCTGAGGGTTTCCTTGATCAATAAACCAAAGCCAATAGCTGGAGTATTGAGATCTTCTGGTTGGAAGTGGTTTATGATTTAGATGATGTGTTGTCACAAGGGATTGTGTGGAATTATCAAGGGGGGGGGAATGACCTGAGTTTTTTGAAATGTAACTTGAAAACAAAATGTGGAACCTAAAAATGGAATTTTGGTGGTGGGGATGATTGTAAATAGGAAACATGGATGCTCAGTTATTATTATTATTTTTTTTTCCTGTAGATTGAGGAATTCTTACTGAATGACTTTGGCCCTCCCTTCATCAGCTCTCTTCATGGCTAATTTTTGTTTTTGCTCAAGGATTGTGCTTAGTCTAGAGACATTATAGGAACTGACATGAGGGTCTTCTCATGATATGGGAAACCCATTTGGTCACATTCCAAATATGACATTTTTTTTAAAAGTATGATTTCCTCCCCAAATTTTGATTTAAGTTGGTTTTTGTTGTTGGGTTTTGTGTTGTGGGTTTTTTTTTTTTTCTTTTCCTCTCACAGCACAGAACATGAATTCTTGAATTTCAGCAGACTGGGATGACCTGTGGAATTATCTGTTTTGTCAGCAGTTTTCTGGTTTAAAATTGCTAAAGTGCTATACCTGGACTGCATGTGAAGGTGGATGCTCAGCATAAATCTGTTCTTGTGTGCATCAGAACAAATGAGGCATTTTTGGAATTATTAATTCTGGTGTATCAGGGAAGAATTGGGTGAATGAATGATCTTCCTTGTTCTGGTAGATTTGATCATGTTTGATTTCCCCCACCCACCCACCCTGGTATTTTTGAAGGAAAACAGTGTTAATCTCTAGTCTAAAGTAAGCTTAGTTAAAGTGGGAGGGATTTAGGCTAATGTACCTGGTAAATTTAGAGAGGGGATTTTGTGTGTTGAATTGTTTTGTGGACTCTCTTAGAAAGCATCATGTTAGGATATCAAGGGCAAAGACACTTAGTATTGCCAGCTTGGTTTTTAGAGTTATTTAATCAAATACATGCTTCTGATTTTTTATTTTATTTTATTTTTTTTTTTACTTCTGTGGTCATAAAAGTCTCAAACCTTGCCTGGCTACTTTCTCCTTGCTCTAAGCAATGAAGTTATCTTAATATAGAAATGCTTAATAGAAAGAGTGGTTTACTTTTCTCCTAAAGATATGTATTTAGGTTTCTTCTGGAATGTGATGTCTTAGTCCTCTTAAATGAAAACTGATCAGACATGACTGAAATCCAAGACTTGGCCAATATCCATGCTGAGAGATTTGAGGTGAATAGAAGCCACTTGTTAGTATAACCAGCTCTTGTGTCCCTGTGAGCCTTATATTGAATTCACTGGCATTACGTCAAGGCCAGCTCTATGCTGAGAGAGGCTGCAGGGATTGAATCCCAATGAAGAATGAATGTCAACTTTAAAAACTACCTGGTCATCCATGACCTTAAAAAGCTGCCATTATGGTCAAATGGCAACATGTTTGCACAGAACTGACAGATATTGGCAGATTTATTTAACCAAAGCTTTGAAATGTGATGAAGCCATCAGCATAAGCACTTGCTAGCTTGTTATAGAAATCAGTATTGCCTCTATTTAGAAGGCCTGGGGATCAGGGTAATGAGACACCAGATGAAGATGGGATCAGAATTGTGTCAAGTCATTAAATTTCCAGTTTGTTCTTGAAGTTCTTTCTGTTATATATGTATTTTTTTTCTCCCTCCTAATTTGTAGTAGTCTTCATCAAAGGTCTTTGCTATCATTGCAGGATGGCAATTTTACCATAATGGAACTTGTCATCTTGGTTGAATCTCTTCACCTGAATTTCTGTCAGCCCAGATATTTTTGATAGTAGGCATATGTTCTAGAACCAGTGGGGTAGAAAGACTGCCTGCAGCTCAGGACACCATTGCTCTAATCAAAGCTGCACTTTAAAACACAGTGCCTGGTCTAGTGATATTTTTTGTGAGCCTCAGAATAGACCAGGTGACTTGAAAGTTCAGGCGTGTGGGATCCAGCTGGACCTTGGCCTTTCATGCTTTTTACGAAGCTCCAGGATCCTCTGAAATTGTAGAGTCCAGTGGTTCCTTTTTTGTGTGTGTTGAACAACATGAAACTTGGCAGTGATAGAGGGCATTAAAGTGCAAGATCTAATACAAATTTAAGCAGTGTCTAATTTACTTCAGGACTCTGAATAGTTTTTGGAAGCTTTATAAACTTGCAGCCTGTTATCTCATCCTGCTGATTCAAATCAGACTGAAGAGTAGTGAGGTTAAAATGGTACCTTTCTCCCTTATTGGTGGAAGGGCATCTACTAAATTCCTGACCTTGTATCTCCATTTCTTCCTTAAATCTTGCTTTGACATCAAAACAATGTTCCTCACTCACAACTTCAACTTCAGGAAAAAAGTTCTCACCAACACCTTCATGTCTGAATTTCAATCGTTGACTGCACGTGGGATGTGACATCGCCCAACCTGAGAGAATCTGCTGGATATAGAGATTTGAGTAGTTATTGGTCCTGTTTATGGTACAAATACAGTTTGACATTCAAGATCTTCACCTTCCCCCACCCCTTTCCAAGTTTGATTTTTCTCTGGGGATTTGAGTCTCAGCAAGCTGCATATGAACCCAAGTTTTTGTGGTGGCACATTAATAATAAAATTTCTAAAGATCTCATTATGCTTGTCATTGAACTTCCCTGGTAGTGCTAACCCCTTCACTTATGCTAGGTTAAGGTTTTAAATTGGTACTCTTTTGTTAACTTTGGAGAAATGGTACCACTGAAAGCAACTTCCTTTAAGATAATTCCTTTCTAGGTAACTTTCTGGTACTGGTCAGGCACCCTCTTCTAGAAAATAAATTACAGTTATCTGATAGTTAAAAAAGAAACCCTTATTCTCACTGGAGATGTTTCTCCCTGGGTATCGAAGGGTTTTGTACTAGGGAGAATCCTTTGAGTGGATTCTTTAAATTGAGAGAACTTCAAGTTTCCAAGATTAGAATCATATCTTTAATCTGGCAGAGTCCAAAATGTCACAGCTGCCATTGGAACATATTCCAATCCAACCAATTAAGTTCAGAGGACCAAGGGAGGTGAGTAGGAGGAAGTATTAAGACAAGAAAACAAAATCAAAACCCATCAACTTTTCAGGATTATTTGTGAAGATCTGGAAGGCAAGGATCAGGAAAGAAAAAGGGCTATTTTGTGGGTTCAAGTGCCTAAATCTTGTTTACCTATCACTTTTTTTAAAAAAATAGTTGCACAAGTGTAAGCTGAGGAAAGTGTTTGGAGTTTTGCCTGGACTAGTGAGAGTTGGTGTAAATCTTCATGTTTGCATGGGAAGGTGAGAAGACCATTCACTAAAGAGGAAGTAGTTGAAATAAAGGGCTATTTGGGCTTTTAAATTTTTTTTAATATTCAAGTTATCTTTTTAAAAATGAGTAAAAGTCTACTTAATTTTCTAAAACAGCTATTGCTTTCCAAAAATAGTAGATGAAAAGTCAGATACCCTTTAGACTAAATTGGAAACTTTCTCATAATTTCTATATTTATGAATATTAATTTCTTGGCAGTATCTATGGTGTATGGGGATTCCTCTTTGTTAATGGTCACTAACCTTCCTGATGCCAGTGAAATCACTTGTCAATGCAAAATGTGTTAGAACTTGATGAAATTAAGCTTTTTGAGTTTGAGAAATAAAGTGTATTTAAAAAATACCAACTTGTCAGGTATGCTCATTTCCTTTCTCCTCAAGGGTTATTCTAGATTATAGGAAACATTGGATTGTGGTGAACCGCTGTCATTTCAACAGGGAATAATTCCATGAAACACCATTCTTTGGGTTGAAGTTGTGAAGATATGTATGTGTAGTTACTTTGTGTTGTTGTTAGGTGTCGAGTCGAGAATGACTTCAAACAACCCAATGAACAACAGATCTGAACCATGTCCTATCCTGTGCCACCCTCATCAACTTTGACATGCTTGAACCCATTGCTGCAGTCGCTGTGTCAATCTGTCTGGTTAAAGAGTCTTTTCTCTTGCCAACACTCCACCTTTCCAAACATCATGCCCCTCTTCAAGGAATAGCCTCTTCTAGCAACATGCCCAAAGTGTGTGAAATGAAGCTGCATTATCTTTGCCTCCAAGAAGCACTCTGGATGCGCCTTCTCCAAGACACATCTGTCTGTTCTTTTGGCAGTCAATAGGACATTCAGCAGTCTTCCCCAGTTACATTGAGAGGCCATAATTCTCCAAAGATTTGGAGTCATGACTAATTTAAACTGAACTATTCTTGATCACAATCTATTGGCCAAGAAGGGGTTATACTCTACTTGATCTGTCTTGTCATCTTGGTTCATACTTAAGGCCAGCTCTCTTGAACTTGACTGCAGAGACATTTTAAAAAAAGGAACCAAAATAACTAACCACATTATATACAATGACTATCATAGCTCATTTATATTTATGAAGATTAATGTGTACTAGTGAAACTTGAGTAGTTGATATTTGAAAGGTATACAGTAGACCTTGCACAGTGACCAACTTTCTTCTTGATACCTTTGCAATAATCCTGCCTACCCCTAGCCTATTGACTTGATTCTCCCACTACCTACTCTTTTGGTTGTCTGAAAAAAAGCCAAAGGTACATATTGCTATTCATCATAAAAGCCTTTCTAAGTTCTCTGACTCAGCCCAACCTTTTCCATGACATGTCTGAGTGCTGAATTTCTTAAACTTGTATGCTGTCTTTGATAATTATTGTCAAGAGACATACGTTTTTCACGGTGTAAAATCAGCCCATTACCTTCAGCCTCTGCTCCTCCAACTTTTCAATCTGAGGATGAGTGCTCTTTGGCGTCAGTAAGTGAAGTCCTTTCCAATCACTTCCTGGTAGCTTTTATTCTCTGAAGACTGACAGCTCACACCGTTTTCCCTTTTCTCATCCTGACGTGTGTGTGTGTGTGTGTGTGTGTGTGTGTGTGTGTGTGTGTGTTAGTGTTACTAATTTTTTCCCATCCTGACATTGTTAATGTTCTTGTCAGTGACCTCTTTACAGTTAACTATTCTAACCACCCCCTTACATTAGCTAGACTTAGTCTTAATCTTGAGCTGGTTATGAATGTTGGAGTGAGTTTCTTCTCCCTTCCACTACAAGAAT